CAAGCACAAAAATTAAGACAAATAACTCACAGAGACCAAGAAACAGAGGAGCAACATGATGTATGATTTCAGGCTCAAAGAACAAAACAAGATCAAACACGATCTAACTTCAAATAAAGCTTTGTTTGATTAAATGCTTTTTTATTTCTTGATTCACAGCTTTTGTCTACTTACTGAATAATTTGCTGAAAAAAATACCGATCTATACATTTCAAATCTAAATTTTCACTGTGCTATGCCGGGTAACTCGGTTAGTGGAAATATAAATGGCACATAAAATACTTTTTATGTCATAAATAAAAGTTTGTCTCAATGCTCTTATATTTACTTTTAAAATATAATTAGCGTAAATACAGTCTTATGGTGCTATGTTTATATGCGATATATTTTTGTCTATGTGATATACTTTGTGTTTCTGTGGTTATTTGATAAAAGTAATTTTATTCTTAGCATTGTAATATTCCCAAATTTCTATGTGATTAGATACATATTTGATGGTTTTTATGCCCCTTTGCATTATTATATTATACTTGCTTCTGTTATTTTCTCTCTCTATTATTTGTATAGTTTATACCTATGTTTGTTGAAAAACTAGTTCTTCTGAGCCAATGTCTTAAATGCTAACATGTATATAACTTTAATTAGTTTCTTAAATCATGATGATTTATTCCTGGATTATACCATGGACACTTAGTGGTTTAAAACCATAACACTATAAGATAGCATGTAAGCTAATCAAAACATTTTAAGAACAAAGATAAAAGGAGCAAGCATTAAAATGAAATTCTATAGATGATGTAAAAATGAATAAGTAATAGTGAAATGCCACTGCTAAAGAAGGAATAATTATAGCAGGAAAATCAATAGCAATCAAAAAATGTCACTGCCTGATGAGACCCAACCAGGGTTATATCTAGTGTATTCTTGAGTCAAATCTCAGACAATTATACAGTAAGAACTCAGTTGGCTGGCTAGGACACAACAAACACTGTAGTTGTCAGAACACTATTTGTATAAATCAGTTTTTACAAGAACAACTGTTACAGTGTGAACATCTTTTCACATGGATATGATGAATATAGTGTGGTTGGAATATATTAGTGTAACATAACATTAAAGGACAGCAAGAGATCTTATGGTCCATCCAAGTTATACTTAGCTTTAAAAAACAAAAAAAAATCTCATTCAAATAGCTATCAGATTTTCACTTAAACTGCCTTAGATTAACTGCATCTTAAAGCAATCTGTGCCAGAGGCTAATCACCATGTTAGAAAAATAAAGCTAACTTAGCTAAGGATGACTTCTTTCCTGACAGAATGTATATTTGTATCCTCTAGTCTTACTATTCTATCCATTAAATATGAAAAAGATGCATCAACACAATTAATTATCTTAAAACAATCTTAAACACCTCAATAAGATCCCTTCTAACTCTTCTTTTTTTAAAAGAAGACAAGTTCAGAGATCTTAACCTATTCTCATATAATAACCTTTTAATCCTAGGTATCATCCTAGTACTCCTCCTTTGAATCCTTTTCAACAAAGGAATGTTTTTTCTGATGTAAGAAGCTCAAGAGCTTAATGAGTGACCTATACAATGAAATTATAACCTCATTAGACTTGTATTCAGTACTTTTGTAGGTACAAATTAAAATTCTATATACCCAACCACTTGAAATCTGAGTCTGATCACCAGGACACCAAGATCATTTTCTTCAACTACACTGTTAAGATTATTCCCATGAAAATTATACTCATAATTCAAATGTAAATAATCTATTGACTTTTTCTTCATCTATGTCATTAATGTAAATCAAAAAGAGCAAAAGTCTTAACACAGACTCACTCATAACATTAATTTAGTTTGACTTAAATCCGTTTATATCAACCGTCTGCTTTCTTCCACCTAGTCATTTTTTTGTCTAATGAGCTAGTCTATCTCCCACACCTAGAGAGAGAGAAATTTTTTAACAAGCCTTATATGTAATAATTTGTTAGATACTTTGTAAAAATTCTGATATATCACATCCACACCTGTATCCTCATCTGCATAAGCAGTAACTTCTTCGAAGTATGTCAAAAGATCAGTAAGGCAAGATTTTCCCCTAGTGAAACTATGCTGACTATTCAACAAAATTTTAAACTTTGTTAAATGACTTTGCAAAGCATCTTTTTATCAGACATTAAAAAACCTTTCCCATCACTGACATAAGGCTAATGGGCCAATAAATACTGGGAAAATTTTTATCACCTTTCTTGAAAAGAGGAGGAACATATATTAGTAACATATAGTAAATTTCCAATCTTCTGGCACCTTCCCACTTTTCAAGGACTTAGAAAAAATTGTAGCAAGTGACTTACATATCCAATCCTTAACCTCTTTCAAAATCCTTGGAGAAATTTAATCTGGCTCAAGTGCTTTATCATTCTTTCAACTCTCCAATTTTTTCTTTGCAACCTCAGAATTAATGTGATCATCTTGTTCATCCTTGTTTCCATCTAGCAGTTATTCAGGTTGAGGAATATTACTTTTATCTTCATTAGTAAAAACTGAAGAAAAAGTAGAATTTAATAACCCAGCCATCCTATAATCATCAGATATTAGCACTGTTATTAATATATTAGTAGCAGTGTTACTAATGATGTTACATTTTTAGTAATGTCCAAATTAATGACACTACTTTTCAAATTTAGTAACATTTTTTTGGTAACATTAAATTTTTGGTCAAAACAGTACATTATTCATTACTCATTACTTTTCAAATTTAGTAACATTTTTGGTAACATTAAATTTTTGGTTAAAACAGTACATTATTCATTACTCATTACTTTTTAAATTTGGTAATATTACAGCCTACTAATATACTTAAAAATATAAAATAGTTGATAACAATTAGTAGTTAAAACTATCTGGTTAAAACAATAATAATAATTAATAAACTAATAAAAATATCCCTAAATATAATAAATAATATGCTTTTTAACTAGTAGTAATATTGGAACAGCAGCAGAGGAATGAAGTATTGCATGTGTATTCCTGCTGAAACATGTTTTAGTTGAGTTGTGAGTCTGTAAATGTGTAGTGAGGGCCATCACACTAATCAAAGATGCCTTTTGTATGTATTTTCTGTCAGTTGTCTGTAAGCTATCAGAGTGGGAGGTTATGTGCATCACTATGTCATACAAAAGCGGCAGCAGTTTGAAACTTCATGTAATCTGTGGCCATATATCGACATATCCTTTGGGTTTACTGGAAGAAATATTGGTGATAACTTATCATACAAATGCTTGCCTTTAAAGAAAATATTCAGTGTGAACAGAAAATTTGCAAGCAACTTAAAATAACGTGTGTCCATAAAACATTTCTCCATTGATAAAGGATTTGAGTCTACAGTGAAACAAGGTGCTACATGAAACAAACAGTGGAAGCAAATGAATGTAATGACAACATGCCTAAAAAGCTTGCAGTCAAGAGAAAAAACAACAGCTTCTAATGTTTGGGAAAGCTCCTGAGTGTCTCAACAAAAGCTGAATTGGTTAATATTGGACTTCATGGTTTCAGAGTTTTTGCCATTTCAAGTTGTTGTGTGCACTTTCCTTAGAAATTTAATCAAATCACTACACCCAAAAGAACAGCCGTTTCTCGAAGAACATTAATGAAGCAAATCAAGTCTGAACTAGCAATAGTCAAGAATGTCACTACAAGTGCTGACTGTTGGAGTTGTAGAAACAGGTAATCAAATAATAAATAATCTCTAATTTTTTTAGTTCCTAATATTCTCACATTATTTAAACTATACAGTGTTTTTTGCACCTCACTTAGGAACATTGATATTTTATTAGATTGTCATCATATTTACTATAGATAATTTTTAAATATTGGAGGTAACCTGTTTTGTTATTAAAAGTACATTTAGAAACTGATGGGCCATTATTTAATTTTAAAACCTATTTAGAAGTCACTATGCACTGAATAAATTAGGATACACAGTTATCGTCTGCCGTCCTGATAAAGTATGTCATAGCTACAATCTCATTGGAAAGGCACTAGAAGCAGTACATGTTGAATACTGCATTCAGAACAAAATTGTCAAGACTACAACAGATAATGGCAGCAACTTCATTAAGGCTTTTAGTTAGTGAAATATTTTAAAGTTATTTGCATTTGCCTCTATATTTATATTGCCGAATACTTAAAATGCAGAGCAATAGCCCTTAGACAGGGAGCCAAAACCACATTTTCCATGGACAGCCAACTGCCTCAGTGAAATTACTCCCATTTGTGATGTCATGTGTGCATTGGCCAATTGGAGAGAAGCTTTAAAATATCACGATAAGAATATGTAATGAGAGAGAGAGAGCAATCAATATTTTACAAACATAGATGTCTGAATGATTTAATAAATGTGGGAAGGAATGAAATAATAGGAGTAGAGAAGTTGTATGTTACCTATATAATAGATTTAAATTACAGCCCATATTCATATAATTATCTCTTTTATGCCTGGGAATCTTTCCTTTATTTTAATACAGTTGTGTGGTGTTAGCCAGAATAAAATATTAAACAGACCATTCGTCATCATGGTTAGTTGTGTGTGTGTGTGTGTGTCTGTGAGTATATATATATATACATACATACAACAAACACATCCAAAGAGAAGTAATATAATATTACTATTTGGATACGTTTGCTGGTTGGTTGTTCTGGTTCACTTGGTTGAACATCAGATCGTAACATTGCCCTTTGTGGTTGCATTATTGGTCATGTTATTAAATGTCAAAATTATTTTTATGTTTATGTTATAAGTTTAAATGATAGAGTGATATTTTCTTTTACAGACTGTTCTCAATCAATGAGTCCACCATCTATCCTGACCAACTGCATGGTGATGTTGTAGTCACAGATGAAGATGATATGATGATTCAGATAACTACATTATAGAAATTCATTCTCTAGCTGATATATTAACTGTTGGTGATGAGGTATCATCTCATTCCTGTATATGTATTTTGCAAGACCTTCAAAGTTGTGCCTCTCATACATTGAATCTTGTTGCTACTACTGATGTGGTTAAATCTTTAACAACATTTAGTATAAAAAAAGTGTCCAGATCAGCAATAGTAAAGCCTCAAACCGTATGGAATAAACAGAGCAAAAGCACTGTAGCTGCCAACATAATTGAGAAAGAAATAGAGGGATGCTTGGTTGTTCCTTGTCCAACTAGTTGAAATTCAATGTTTGATGCTCTAAGTCATGTAGATAACTTAATATCTGGAAATAAGTTACCAAGTGCTATACTGAGTTTTTGATCAACTGGACATTGTGCAGCTGAATTCAGCTGAGAAACTTTTCTTTTGGAATATATTCAAGTCATGAAACCTATTACTAGAGCACTTGACATTTTGCAGTGTGAGAACAAAGCATTTATGGAACTACTGATTCCTACCTTGCATGTTTGTCTAGCAAAATTGGGCAGTTTGAACAATAAACAGTTACAAATTTGTAAACCTTAGTTGAAGTATTGATTCAAAGCATAGAAACTAGGTTTAACAATGTGTTCAATGATGAAGATTCAATTCAGCATTTATGGAACTACTGATTCCTACCTTGCATGTTTGTCTAGCAAAATTGGGCAATTTGAACAATAAACAGTGGCAAATTTGTAAACCTTAGTTGAAGTATTAATTCAAAGGATAGAAACTAGGTTTAACAATGTGTTCAATGATGAAGATTCAATTCTTTTGGCATCTTTTCATCCTATCTTCCAGAAAATCAGAGGGAACAAGTTCAACAAAAACTTATTGCAAAAATAGAAGAACACACAGTACAATATGATACATCATCACCTAATCAAGATAGCACATCAGAAACAGGAAATCAAGATGATTATTTCAGATGCCTGAAAACAATGGAGGCAAAGAGTACTGGACACAAAAGTGCTGAAGTAGTTGGTGCTTTTCTAGATAAATCTATTGTAAAGTCTGTTCACAATGATGCATTTCCAAATTCTGTCTTAAAGTCAGTTTTCATTTCATTAAATACAGCTATTCTATTAAGTGCCACAGTTGAGAGTGTTTTTTCAGTTGTAAAAGATGTGCTGAGGGCAAAAAAAGGAGGAATGTCTGATGCAAGCTTTGGAAGAGCTGTTTTCTTTAAATGTAACAGTAATATTGGCCTCCCAAAATAATTGTTTTAACGCTACAGTTATTACATGAAGTAAACTCTGTTAGATTATTTCACACTAATTTATAGGCTACTTATTAGTTATTTTGATCATTTGCATTTCTTTTTTTGTATTTGTAAGTCATACTTTGCTCTTACTTTGAATATTATAAAGGAAAAATAAAAATGGTTCCTTTAATTGCTATTCTAAAACATCTCAATGTATAATGCATTTTTTGTCTTGAGTTCAATGCTTGCAGTTCAGTTCTGTATACATATATATATATAATTTACGATGTACACAGTACATGTTTTATATAAAGAATACAGGTATTCATTTGAAAAATAACAAGTAATGAGTTGTTATTCATTAAGTTTTTAAATAAATAATGTATTGAGTAATGACACTTCAATTTTTAGCAGGAAATGGTCAAAGTAACTTCATTACTTGTTTCTAGTAATATGCCCAACTCTGGATATTTGCCTTCCTGTGTCATCCTTCAGAGGCCCTATTCCCATCCTAACATTTTACTTACCTGTAATATGTTTGAAGAAATTCTTGCTATTTATTTTTACACTTTCAGCCAACCTTTTTCAGATAGTTTTTTTTTATTTCTTAATTTCCTGTTTGACTGACTCTCTTGATTTTCTATAGTCTTTCAAATCTATCATTCCTGTGAATTTAAACTTCTTATATTTATAATACTTTTCTTTAAATATATTCTTTGTGAACAAACCTGGTTTTTTCTTGCAGTCACCCTTTTTTGTCTATAAGTATCATATCTGTCTCAAATATTTAAAATCTTTTCCACATATGATCAGTACTCAGACTAATTCAGTTGCCAAGATCACAGAGGTAATTCTAGTGTCATCTTTTTAAAATTTAATTTTTTGAAACTTGGAACCAAAATATCACTATTCCTTAACTCTTTATGCAGCAAAACATCAAATCTAATTGAACAATGATCACTTGCATCCAGATGTTCCCAAACATCTACCCTATCAACCATTTCTTTATGAAAATCCCGAAGAGACTAAATAAAGAATGCAGTGTTAAAAATATAATAGGTCTAATACTAACATCTTTTGACAAGTATAATGAATTGCAACCATGCTTTGCCAGCTTGTTGAAAGTGTTCACACCATAAGAATATCATTTTGAATTTTAGTTCGGCTCTGTTAAGCTCATAGCATGAATCCAGTAATAGTAGTAGTTGTGGTTCATTGAATTTCATCTTTCTGAATCCATCTACTTTTTGTACACATCCTTATTTCATGTATCTGCACCAGTTTACCACTGTTGTAGGATTAAAGCTTTCTGGTTGTGATATTTGTGAGTGTGGAAATAAGGTAATTGCATAGTTAGTAAGTCTACATTCCTTATAAGTTCACTGTTAGTACCACTGGGAAACACAGTTGTGACCAAACTTCAAGTGCTAAATTCTTTTTTTTCTTTTTACTGAATAACTTCTCTTCTTTGGCTTTAGCTTATATATGTTCATGAAAGCTACTGGAAATACTGTCAATCAAGTATATAAATCCTACTGTGTAATACTGAATACAACAAACAATTAAATTAAATTTATTCCTAGGCTTAGCTCAAACAGTTAACCTTGACTAAAGATCAAAAATTGGTTTTTTTAAGTGTGCTTTTTTTCTGTGGTTATTAAAAAAAGTTACTATAATATATGTGCCTACATCCAGATGAACTTATTCTGCTGAAATCATGTTATTGTAATGTTGAATACCATTATGCATTGTTGTTCACTTTACTTTTGCTGTGTGATTTTATTTTTCATTTAAAATGTTTTTGAATATGTTCATAAGCTATAAATACACAGAAAGTTTAAATTTTATTAGGAAATATAGGTTATATTAATGTGTATATAATTATGAGTCATTTGTTTTATACTTTAGTTAAATAAAGTTTACATTAGATATATATATAACTTTCACAGATGAGTAGTCATTTTGTTCTATTCTTATAGAAGACTATGCATATACTAAGACTTAACTGTTAGGAAAGTTTTGCTTAGAGGAACAAGCTATTACAGTTACCTACATCTGGTGCCAGAGCATTTTGATTTGACACAAAAACAAACTTGGTTGTCCTTAACAGCATAATGAAACCTTAGACTGCTGTTCTAACATAAATGTTTTTATTTTCAGGATTTTATGGTAGACCATGGACAACAGAACAGAGAAAGGATTTGTTTGAAAAGTAAGAGATTATTTTACAGAATTGAGAAAGAAAATTTGTATAATGCTGATATTAGTTAAAGGATTGTTACAAAATAAAAATATAAGTACATATTTTTTTAAAAGAACCATATAAATGATCATAAGATATTTTGCTAATTGATGTTGTTGCTTATTATGTTTTATATCACAAATTTATTGGTGTTCTGTGTTCAGAGCATATAATTTAATATTAATCCCTTGAAATCTGATCTTAGGATTTTTGTCTCAGATGATCTTCACATAACACTATGTTTCAGGTAAAATCTTTGAAAACAAAGAAAGAAATTCACTGTTGGATTGTAGAAATTTCTTTCGAAGTTATTATTATCAGGGATCCAAAATTTTCCGAAACAAAGTACTAATTTCTCTCTTTTAAAAGTGAATACATCATCTTTTGGATTTAAGCAGATTTATTGAGGAAACTTTTACGACTTACTGTGACATTGATGAGCTGATGGTCATATACAAATGAGTGATTATGTATGCTTAATAGAACAGGGAATTAGTGAAATTTGCTTATAAATTAATTGTCAAGCTCATTAATTGATTACATTCAACTAATTGATCATTCTCATGAGACTTTGATAGTTGGAATGATTGCAAATAGTATGAATTGAAAACATTAATTTTGATTAGTTGATTATTTTTTGTGAGTTGTGTCATTCATTAATTGGTTATGCTGAACAACCTTGAATTAATCAAAGATTATAATTAGAAATCATAATGACAATATTCTGATTACTTATGTAGTTGGAATAATTGAAAACTAATAATCTGTAAATTAATTAGTTTATAATTTTTGTTGATATTAAGTGAGTTAATAATCCAAGTCTAATGCTTAATATTGTAGTACATGTATAATACTTAAAATACATTTAGTCAGGTGCTCTATCTGCCTATTTATGTATAGTCTTTGCGAGTTACAACTGAAAGTCAATATTTATAGATTCATACATTTGGGAAAATTTCAAATGTTTTGACATGCATAGAGAATTGGATGAAATAACATACTTTCAGACAAATGTTTCTTAGATCACTTACACCCTCTTTCCCACTTCTAGGGTCCAAGATGGGTCCTAAACCCCCAGCATTATGAGACTTTCAAAGCAAATACTTATGATAGTTCAAAATTTTATTTTTTTCTTTCTCATTCTTGAATATGAAATATATATATTTGTGTGTGTTAGTCAACCTGTTTTTATTTTCACTATCCCATTAAAAGATTATATAAATACCAAAAATATTTGTTTTCATGGTCCAAGGTTATGTTAATAGCTTTATGCCACTCAAGAAATGTAGGTAACTGAATTAACAACAAATCAGATCATGGTTGCTCTTGACTGTCCTCTTTTTTTCAAACCCTCATTCAATGTAATGCTTAAGTACTAAGTCACACATGCCTTTGGGATTTGGTGTTGAAATATTTATTTAACAACTTTTTGTAAACAAATATTTTATTTTCTAGACAGATTAGGATACGATCATGATATTAGCATGTAAAATCTGCCATTTTCACATAAATGTAAATTAATATGTCCATTGTTTTGAAAAGCATGATCAATTGCACACCCAAATTCAAAATAAGGAGCATGTTAGTATTGGTCAAAATCGAAGGTCGATACAGTATTAGCACTCAGTGTAATGCTACTAAATGATATTGTGTGTGAATAACCAAAGTATGCAAAGTCTGCTGATTATTTGTTTATTATTACTTGGAAATTTTATTTGTAATTAGAGTTTATAAGAATAGACAAAACTAATTTTCTTAAAAATGAAATGGTGAAATATGAAGCAAATAATATTAAATTAGTAGGCATACACTTGACTGGTGTCTCTTCTTTCAGTTATTTGTAGATTGAGGGTTTTCTCATTTTTTGACTTTTTCCATTCTCATCCCTAATAAAAATTGCACATGTAGTAAAATACATCATTATATTATAATATAATATCATATCATTGATAAATGGGATTCTTCTTTTTTTAGTAAATTAAACACAAAAATGTGGTTCAGGGACAATTTTCTTTTATGTGATAGTCCCAGGCCTAATAGTAATAGCATTTTTCTACTATAACGATTAAGTTATGTGTTGCAAATACATAGATATCTGTATTCATTATTGTAACTTCTACAGTATTACAAAACTAAAAATAATGCAATTAACTACAGCATATGTGACATAAACATAAAAATCCATCTGCAAGTTCACTAGTGTACATATGTGATAGACTAGTATTCATGACATACTGAGAATAATACAATTTCAATCATAATAAATAAAAATATAAAATTTCTGGGCAGTTTACCTAGCAGTATACATATATGACAAAATTAAACAACCACATAATGGCCAGGTATTTGAAACACCTTGCCCTCTTCCATCATATCTAGGGATATAGTCTCAGAGTTCCAAATAAGCAGTCAAAGTTATTTTCCCATACAGAGCTGTTTCATGTTGTATCAATAAATTTGTACATAATAAAATGATTATTCAGAAATTTTTATTCATCTTTATACACACAAAAGAGCTATTACCTTGTACCACTGCTGTGAGGATTTTTGAACAAAGCTCCCACCCCTATACATACTAACATGTACTGTAACAACCTGTGATGTAATCATCATTAGACTAAAGCCCTCCACAAATAGGAGGGTGATACATCTTCTGTATGCAGTAATTCCCATGAGCACTAACATTTGAACGAAGGCTTATTCTTGATGAAGTAAGAGAAATGCACCAAAGTGGAGAAGCAGGCTGTGCAGAGAGGTGACTTAACTATCTTAAATACATTTTCAAGTATGAAAAATCTTAACTTGACAAATAATACCCACCTTTCTGCACAACAAAAATCTTTGATCCCATATTCATAGGATGGTGGAGGGGCTGGTACAGACACAGAAATTACAGAGATGAGTTACTTTCTATAAAAAAACATCAAAAAAGAGAAACCCCATGGAGCATGTCAACCACTGTAGGAAGGGTAGCCTAGTAGGGCATCATTCAGTGGGAGACAACATCCAACTCAGGCAGGGAATACTTCTTCCAGTTGAGGTGGTAGCAAACTATATTGTCATAAGAACTTTTTGTATAGTGCTAAAGTGTTGCATTAATCCAGTGATTACAAGTATTTATATTTGAAAGAAAAAATATCAGGTAGCTTTTTGTAAATTTTGATATTAAACATAGAATTGGAGTTTACATGCATGCAATTACATCATGCAACCAGAAACACATTAGTCCGGACTAGTACATATGGCATTCATGGAAGCCTGAAATCAAAATTTGGTAGACCCAGGTGCCAAACTAGTGAATGTTTACACCTCTAATGGCATGTCAAATGTAAATCAAATGTATATATATAGATACTATCTATAAACTTTTCCTGTTTTATGTTCACAAAATAATAATACTAGCTCTTCCATCCTTTTTAATAGTTTTGTATGTATGTATGTATAAAACATATCTGAAGTTGTATTTAACTTTCAAATATTTAAGCCAAGTGGTTTCTGTTTCAAAAACCATTCCTTTCTTGTGGTTGTATTAATATGTGAGTGAATTTACGCATATATATTCTGATATTTCCATTGTCTGGAAAAAGTCTAATTGAAAGTTTTACATTTGTTTTAGAAATATGAAATGTTTATGCCATTAAACATTATCTTCAGAAATACTATTCACATCTTCACAGAATAGCTAGCTAATACCTAGTGTCACTGCTGAAACGTTTATGCACATGCACCAAGCCTTTGAATGAAACTCCCACCCTGCACCTTTGACTTTTGCTACTCTGATAACTGAAGTACGTGGTGTTTGTCCTATTGCTCCAGTTGTTTCTGCTGATTCTTTGGCAAACTTCTTGGATGCATATCAACTCATAACCCCCCCCCCCCCTGCTTCTCCTTCTTCACCCTGTTGCAGTATTGTAGATTCTTACTGTCTCTGTGTTGACTTTCAATTGCCATGCCCTCCCTGAAATAAGACTTCTCCTTTGGGTTCTGTGGTTGGAATTCTTCTTCATTTCTACATGTCAGGTTTTAAGTATGAACTAGATTCTTTACAGTAGGTGTCTGTGACTTGGCCATAAATTTCAACAATAAACAAACAGCACACAGTCCACTTGTTTCAAAATAGTATATTAGATTTTTTTGTATGTGAAAGACTTATGTTTCCTGAAAGACTGCCACATTTCATGAAGATATACACACTAGTTAGTAGTATCAAATCTATAAAGACTTTAAATGAGTACAAAGAGGTCATGTGGTTGATCAAATTGAATGAGCCTGTATTGAGAGAGTTAACAAGTTCATGATTAGAGAGGGCACTAGTTACGATAGGGATATTGTCACACTCCAACTGGTGGAGGGTTGATGCATTATCATTTACATGTTGATTTGCAGAAAGAAGTGGGAATTGCATGGTGGGAGAAAATATTCAAGAAATGGGAGCAGTAGTGCAAAATATACATGACTGTTTAATGTGAGTGTTATGAATTAGATAGTTTATATAACATGAGTGTTAAATTTAGTTATTTTTAGAAGCAACAGTTTATTGCAAGTTTGCTTACATAACTGTTTATGAATCATACTTTGTGTAGTCCAATAATTATGAATTGATGATTGTTATATTATTGTATCAACATGCTATAACCTTCTGAGTTTTCTCATTGTTTAAATTGAGAATTATTTTATCATAATATCTAATAGTGTGTGGAATGTTCTAGATCTCTGTTGGGGTATAAATTTGCATTGAAAATTTAGTTCAAGAGATAGATAAATCTTGACTGTGTGGCTGTGAGTTCAGCTATAAATTGTGTATAGTGGGATTTTTAATGTGAAATTATCACAGATTTTATTGTAATAACAGAGTAGAGAAGAATAATTTGTTTTATTAATTGTGTTCTAAAGTAATTGAACTAGACTGCGTGAATTTTGTTGAAAAAGAGACAATTATTTAAAACTCTGGAGACAACTGTGGTAACCAA